TCTCTCTCTCTCTCTCTCTCTCTCTCTCTCTCTCTCTCTCTCTCTCTCTCTTTCTCTCTTTCTGCTTTGATGTAGTAACCCCTCATGGGTAGGCACTGAAATGTAGGGTTGAATCACATCACATTCTAAATATTCTAAACTGTGCAGACGGGGTCGTAAAAAAATAATAGTTATATCGTCAAGCCCATAAAAAACTTTCTTAAGTCATTTTAGGCCGATTTGGAGTTTTTGGTTCTGAAATGAAGAATAGAACTAGCTTGGCAATATACTTCACTTGGACATAACAATAATCCAAATCTAAAACATTTGAGTGTACCCAAATTCAAGCGTGTCACAGAGTCAGTTGTTTGTGAAAAAAATAGGGCTTTTTCTCATGTTCTCAAAATGGTTAAAAATGACTTTGACATTGATCTTATGAGCTTGACGATATGAGTTTGTGCACTGCTAAAGAGGACATGGTTCGGACTCTGGGACAATAACCTGGCTCTTCTTTGGTATTGCTTTTTTCCTATTGCCCTAGTATTTGTCTTTTCTTTTTCATTGAACCCCAGTTTTAGTATCTTTAAAAAAAATAGACCACGGTTTCGTGTCTCTTTTAAAAAATCACACCATCGTTTAGTGTCTTTTTAAAATTAGACCCCAATTTTTCGTCTTTAAAAGAAAATTGGATTAAAGAAAAACACCATTCAGTGTCTTTAAAAGTAAATAAAAGGTGTAGTGTCCTCAAAAGAACTGGCAATACACGTACACGCCGATAACTCAGTTCGTACATTGCCGGACGATGTCACGATGGTGTGAACGACTGTAATTGATGTTCCCATAGAAATGCGTCTTAAATTTCAGTTTAATGGAACATTTTTCAAGGTTCTCCGCTCACTTTGCTTAGTTCTTTAGGATGGATGTTTGATACGTAGGCTAGTTTCCAACTCTTAAATTACCATACCATACCATACTATACCATGTCAAGGGGGCTCTGGTAGCATAGGTATTCACCTCTCTTTCCAAGGTTTCGGAATCGAATCCGGGTAGCGACCGAAACCTTTTCTCCTCTAAAATTGTCTCCTTTCACCTCCGTTCTTGCTCTCTGGCAATGTTCTGTAGTTCTGTCGTCTGCTTTCGTTTCCACTTTCTGCCTCCACTCCCTCACCTCCTTTGTCCCCTCCTCTGGGCTCCAGACTCTCTCTGCAGCCTTTGTGCTGCTACTCCTTGGCTCCTTACTGCTGTCTTTCAGCCACGCCCCTGATTTTCTTGTAGGAAAGATCTACACCTGGGCTTCTCGGACAAGGGTGAAAAATCTCGGGGGTCCCGTGTGCAAGTTGTGCACGTTTAAAGATCTCTCGATAATAGTAGGCTTCGGCCGCCAACCGGGCAAAATTCAAAATTTCCTACCAACGGAAAATGTTTTATGTGTCCCGGGCGCTCATATTACCTTACGCAGTTGCGAACGCCGAAAAACAATTACCA